TTGACGGCAATCGAATGTGCAGGAAGGCAGCTTCCACACCTGCGTAGGATATCGCACCCATTCAAACACACATAGGCCAGGACCAACGGCTTTACTTCTCTTTCGAAGGAAGACGTGACCAGAGATTTTTATGCCTCAGAAAAATCCCACCGACCTCGGCTGGGATTAGACCCAGACCCATTGGGGTGAGAAAGAAGTCACGCATACCACTACACCACCGGCGCCGGCAAAGGTGGCTCAAGAAGACAGCTTTGTATTCCGGGAGAGTAAGACGGAGTAGGTAAAATCAGACACAAAGCTATACAAACAACATCTTACATAGTGACTAAAGAGGATAAATTTATAAACAGACTACACGTTAAAATTGGATTAATCGATTATCTGTCAAAGTCATAGGAAATGTTATTCCAATCGAGCAGAATACCTATCAAATGTATAAGATGTCACCTCTTTACCCAATTCAGCCTCTTTTAATAGAAACTATGCCAATCTAGAAAGAGCTATAAAACCGACTGAAAACAAAACGAATAGATCAGTACACGATCCTTAACCTCACTTTTTGCCCCCTATCAGTTTTGCCTCTGAGTAAAGGGATGACAATGAATGACAATGAAAACAAACCACCAACTGCCAAAATCAGGAGGCTGGCAACCCCACATCAATCCTTTGCGTTTGACAGTAGGCAACATCACGGGCCTTATTTAAATTCGGCCCGCTTAACGTTTACATGGTGGAAAGGAACGGAAAATCGTTTTATAAGCTGTAAGACAAGAGCAGATGATAGCATCGAAAACATGGCTGCCAGTCAGGCCCCTGGCCAAAATTCACGGGTGAGAGAAGAGTGCGGCAAATCTTCGTGGACTGATCAGTTCAAAATAAGAAATCATCAGAGGCATGGTGGGTATATATTTCGACAGAGAGCATGCATAAGGGCGATTACGCGATGATCGATTCTCTTCGACGATTTTCTCTTTGCATTGCTACAGCTAAGCGAAACAATTTTCTAGAATTTGATCAATGCAGAGTAGTAACAGGTTGTATTGTCTATCAAAAGCAACAGCAAACGCACCGAGAAACGTTAAATCTAGCGAGTTATTAACAAAAGAGAAAATCGACGAAGAAAATCGATCATCGCGTATAGGCCCTTATGCATGCTCACTGTTGATTTATTTATTTCGTCAACCAAAGTAGACTAGTACCTACATATGAGAATACAGTTTTGTTTTCTTAAATTTATTTATTTATTTCGTCAACTTATAATTTTTTCTTTAATAAAAATTAAGCAGTGTCAGCTTTCCTATTTTTTATGAGTTATAATGCCTTATGGAGTAAAAATATTGTTTTAGTTTATGCCGAGACATTGTAAAATCAATGGTTTCGCAGTATTGATTGTAAGAGGCCATCATGCGGTTTAATGGCCCATATTTTGCATAATTTGTGCGATGATGTTTTATGGCAAATAAATTTCGATTTCGGAGTTGCCGAGTAGGTGCATGGAAATGCAACTGATGTGCGGTTTTAGAGCCAATTGTAAACAAACTCGGTCGCTGTCCCATACAAAAATCCAACAGTGCTAAATCATGAATTTGACACATTATAACACCTATATGTAGTCACCTTGATCAGAGGGACAGACCAGGGGCCTGACTTGCGGCCATGTTTTTGATGTTATCATCTGCTCTTGTCTTCCCTAATAAAAATTGTATGGTTAATTTGCTTAACGACGTGTTCTGGGTATCATCCAAACCATTTGTGGAATAGTTCAATGATTTGGGTTATCGTTCGTTTATGGTTATTTTTTATTAGGGTTACTGGTTATAAAACGATTTTTCGTTCGCAAACGATAACCCAGATTATAGAAATATTCCACAAATACAATTCGGCACCAGGGTTCTTGTGTGTCATTTATCTTGCAACTCTTGCCAGAATGTAGTATTTCACGTGCTAGCTGCGCGTACGCTGAGTAGATAGAAAGAAGATTTATCACGATTTTGAAGATTTCCTGCAAAAAGATGATGCGCGATGCAAGTAGATGCGAGAAATGAAAGAAGATTTTTCAAAGATTTATTCGCTAGTGTGAGATTTATTGAGCATATAAAATTGAGATTTAGATGTGTCGCCCACCTCGGACTGTATTCTCTCTGCCTATTGGTACTGCTTCTAGACTGAGTAAGATTTACGTCAATTTTCCTCATTTTCCGGTAGATTTTTGAGGTTTTCCACAGTTTTCTCATAAGGCAAATTTACTCATCGCTGAATTCCTGCACTTGTGACGATTATAAGTAAACTATACTCAAATTTGGGCCGTTCTCATTTGCCGTTTACATTGAAATGAAAGTGGCGGTCCGGCTAGGGTCCGGACAGTGAGCTTGCATAAGGGCGACTCCCCTCTTTTTTCTTACCGTGTAGCATCTAATACGACAAAGGAGCTGTTCATTAACTACGCAGACAGTTTTTTTGGATTATTGCACCCCCCCCTCCCCTTCCCGCTGCGTAGACAATTGTCTACACAAAAAAATTAAATTTTTTTATGGGCCGTGGATAATACCCAATCCACCCCCCCCCCCTAAGCTGTCTACGTAGTTTATGAACAGCCCCAAACACAACAAGAAACGGTTATGTGCTCAAGTTATTAACGAAAGAGAAAGTCGACGAAGAGAATCGATCAATGTTACTTAGGACCTAATGTAATGTTCAGCTTGAAATATCAAGAAAGAAGTAATAAATTGATTTTCATTGATTTCCAGTTCATAGTACACTGTAACTGGTGAGTACCCATTAATGGGTGAAAAAGTACCCATTTTGTGGTAGTGTATGGAGCTGTCAAAAAATGCGTAAATGAAAATTTCAAATAATGGGTACTTTTTCACCCATTTCCGAAAACTGTTCAGGGATCAAAAATGAGTACATTTTTACCCTATATTGGGTGAAAAATATCTTTGTTGCTCCGTAACGTTGCTGGTATACTTGGTGTGCCTTGTCGAGTGCCTTTGTTCCGTTTTAGTAAAAAAGTGATAAATATGTGAAAATCTTCCTTGGAGGAGTCTACAGACTTCGAAGCAGAACTAGCGGCTCCGATTATTCGATGTATCTCGGTAATAAATCCATTACATTAGATTTTGCTGTTGTTAGAAAGACGTTCATTTTTTTTTTTTGCAGGATGCTGAAACACCTTTACAAGAACAATTAATGAAGTATGTTGCCTGGAATGTCGATGCTAACGTTGATGTGGCGCCCCATCTGATTTTCAACGGCAACAATTACTTCATTTACGTTGACGCTCAACTCATCCACGGTGGAATTGACTCCATCCGCGCGCTGGACACTCTATTTAAAGTGTTCACTGTTTTCAACATTCGTCCGCCAGCAGAAGTGCAGAAAATTATTGATTTCATCGAGATCATGGGCCTTATTACGGGTGTCACTACACGGTGATAAGGAAGTGATACTCATAATAAGAGCCGTGATTGCCGTGCAAATCAAATGGTAATCACTTCACCGTGACGACAAGTGACAAGTTTTCACCGTGAAGTGACATCCGTAATAAGCCCCCATATGTTATGGAATCACAACGACCAGCACCCGTCAGATAGTCAATCGTTTGGTTTCATCGTTGTTTTCATAAATTTTATCAATGATGTTCAATAAAAACCAAGTTCAGTAATCTGTAGTTTCCATTTTATTGATTGATTTTAAAATTATTGCTAATTCTCAAATTTCAGATTAAGTCCCATCAATATATTTAAAAAGGGGTACTTTTTACCCAGTTACGGAAAACAATGCATTCTGGAAATGGGTAAAAAGTACCCCATGATTTGACGTATAAGCTCTTTACCCATTAGTGGGTAAAGACGTTTTACCCATTTTATGAGTTTACCTACTTTACCGCGAAATGGGCACTTTTTCACCCATTAATGGGTACTTTCCAGTTACAGTGAGCCCTAATAAAAATTGTATGGTTAATTTGCTTAACGACGTGTTCTGTGTATCATCCAAACCATTTGTGGAATAGTTCAATGATTAGGGTTATCGTTCGTTTATGGTTATTTTTTATTAGGGAGGTATATATAGGAAAGCGAAATTTGTGGTGTATTTTCCAACACGGTAAGAAAAAGTACCCAAAAGTAAGTTCTTTTCTTTCATCTCGGCACTATACACGCTAACTCGAAAGTACCCATTAATGGTTGAAAAAGACCCATTTTGAAGAAAAGTGGCTTAACTCATTAAATGAGTAAATTTTGTACCCATTAATGAGTATCTGTTACCCATTAATGAGTAATTGTTAATCATTAATGGGTAACAGATACTCATTAATGGGTAAAATTGTTTAATCATTAATGAGTTAAGCCACTTTTCTTCAAAATGGGTATTTTTTTACTCATTAATGAGTACTTTCAAGTTAGCGTGTAGTGCAGCGGGTCAAAGCAGTTTTCATTCGCTTGTGTGCAATTCGTATGGAATTTTCCACTCGCTTTACGAATAGTAAGTTAGTTGTACCCAAAAGTAGGTAAATATGATTATACTCAACGTTGGCTTCCCACACTTTACTACCCCTGTTGGGTAGTTTTGCTTCTCCTTTTTTGACAACATTAGAAGGGGAAAAGGAGACAAACTAGTCAAAAGTAGGTAAAAGTGGGTCCTTTTTTCTTACCGTTAACGTTTCCCTAATAAAAAATAACCATAAACGAACGATAACCCAAATCATTGAACTATTCCACAAATGGTTTGGATGATACCCAGAACACGTCGTTAAGCAAATTAACGATACAATTTTTATTAGGGTTACCCGATCCAGGTTGATCAAATACAGAATTGCGATAAGAGCACCCTGAATTAATGTAGCTTGCACATGGTGACCTCGTGTGGATTTTGTTCAGTGTAGGCCTTTTTGTTATGCGACGCGGCTTGTTGTTATGCTGTCTACTGTCAGTTAGAAGGCTCCCAGGTAGGCGTGTTAAAGTGCGGTGCGAAACAATTTTTTAGATTCTACCAGAGATCCGTTTTTTTCCCGTTTCAGTTAATGGATACCATCTCAACGCCTACTTTAGTTTTGTTTCCGTTAATTTACCGCGATTTCCTAAACGTAGAAAAGTGACTACCTCCTGTCTTGGTTGAAATACAACAGGACGCGGCATCATTCTACCTATCCAGATCGTAGCGGTTAGATTAGTGGTTTTTCTATTCTACCTACAGTCATTAAATAAACGCTTTCAATCCGACAGAAATCCTAGTTTACGGAGTGTAATCAACCGAACCACAAGAGTGGCTCAGTGAGAATTTCAACTATAGTCGAAAGATGGCCGAAATGCATGATCAGGACAATCAAATGGACACCAGTGGTAACGCCGGCCGGGACGACGATAGGAAGCTGTTCGTCGGTGGTCTCAGTAAGGAAACAGCTGAGCAGGATTTGCGCAATCACTTTGGTCAGTATGGCGAAATCGATAGCGTAAACGTCAAGACCGACCCTCAAACGGGCCGTTCCAGAGGTTTTGCGTTCATCATATTCCAATCGCCCGATTCGATCGAGAAGGTCGTTGCATTCGAGGACCATACCATCAACGGCAAGAAGGTTGATCCGAAGAAGGCCAAAGCCAGACAGGGTAAGATTTTCGTCGGAGGCCTAAGTCCGGAAACTAGCGACGAAGAGATCAAAACGTTCTTCGAACAGTTTGGCACTGTAGTGGAGATAGAGACGCCCTTCGATAAGATAAAGAACCAACGGAAGGGATTCTGCTTCATTACGTACGACTCGGAGGCGGTTGTAACGGAGCTGCTGAAGACTCCCAAACAGATCCTGGGTGGTAAGGAGGTCGACGTGAAGAGAGCGACAGCGAAGCCTGATATGCAGATGGGTGGACGTGGACCAATGCGTGGATCACCGCAGCGTGGAATGCGAGGTGGCCGAGGAGGCTTCGGTGGACCGAGAACCTACGGCCAAGGCTGGGGCGGCGGACAAGGATTCGGCGGAGGATACAACCAAGGTGGATTCGGAGGAGGATTCAGCGGTGGCTACGGTGGTGGCAACGGCGGATACGGTGGCGGTGGTGGCGGCGGTGGTGGTTGGGGTTATGACAACTACGACTATACAGGATACGGCACCGATGGCTTCCAGGGCGGCAAGCAGCGAGGTGGAGGCGGTAGCAGTCGCCAATATCAGAGGCCATACTGAGTCCCCTTAGTGGAATTGTGAACAATGTTCTCTTTCAGAATAAAGAAAATCAATCAAAAAAAAAAATCGTATTATGTAATTTGTAAGGTACTAGTTTTGAATAAAATGTAAACCGAAAAATCATGGCTTTGCATTTGTCGGTGGTGACTGTTGGAATTCCAAGGCTGCTCTGAGGTCACCATGACCTGATAAAAGTTGAAGATAACTGCTTCCAAATAGCCACGAAAAGCTAAGGGACAAAACCGAACACCAAATCCGGCGTGCGATAATGGTAGGGGTCGCACTGAATCATCTAAAAGTGCAAATCAAAACGGCGCTAATCAGCCGAATCGGTTTGCGAATCGCCTATTGTACTGTCTGAGTTGTCTTACACAAAAACGATGCTCGCGAGCGGCTCCAACACCTCCTCCGAACTACGGGTCTACAGGAGGGCTCGGGCTCGCGTCGCGTGAACTAGGTTGGCAGAAAAAGGTGCCCGTGGCTGTCTCTTCTATTTGCCTTCGGGTTCATTAGTGGTCGACTTTTGACCGTTTGAACTTTTTAATTTTCATTCTCTTGCTCCCCGCGCGCGATTTGCATGTTTGGGATTTTGTTTTGTGCTGCTGATCCAAGCGAATATAAAGCAAACCAAACAATCGAGGAGGCAAGGAAAACAAAACGGAGCAACCCTTGCGCGGTGAGTGTGTGCGGGAGTGTGCCTAATTGAGTTCGGTGGGTGCTCTCTGCTCTCGTCCCGAGGTAGGCGGCTTCCTTACGTAATTGTAAACAAGATTCCCCATGCAGCACCATTGGCAAAATCGAAAGTTGCGGTCACACCAGCCAGCCGAAATCGGTTCTGCGCGGATCAATTAAAGGCGTGAGAAAGTCTCACACCGGATTGACTTCATACATCATTAAATTCTGTACCGCCACTATGGCCTTCTCGGTCTGATAAACACAACGCGAGCGAGCAGCCGGCCTTGTTTGCCTCCTCCCACGCTCGATGTTGTATCCGTGTGGTGAGCAACCAAACGAACGAACGACATCCCAGAAGGCGGTGGCGGCGTTATGCGACATAACAACCAACCGACGACCTGTTGACAACGGCGATGATCAATGTTTTCGCGAGTTGAGGAAAATTGAGGCAAGGAAAAAATATTTATTGCCATTGTCAAATGATTGTGTGTTGCTCCGAGAGCTGTCTGTTTTGTCTATTGTCTTCCTGAGCCCCCTCGCCTCGTCCGCTCGCCGAAAGCGGAAGAGAGAAGAGGAAGCGAAGAAATCCGCAATCTGGGCCTGCTCCGTTTCCCGAAGATTGAGGAGGTTTTTCAATGCAAGGCTGGCTGGGATGGAAGGGAAGGAGACCAACTTATTCATACTTTTCAGCATATCTACCGACTTAATCTGTATTTATTGCTATTATGGCATCATTGATGTTTCATTATGTATTATTTATTGCTGTTTAGGTTAGGTATTTATTTCGCTTGACATTTCGAGCATGTAAGTCGATGGGTTACTGTGTGTGTGTGTTTTTGTGGTTGGATTCTGTTTGCTAGTTTGGTCTCAATTTGTTGTTAGCTTCTTGGCGAGACTTTGACACGATTAGGGAACTTTGAGATCTTAAGTTGTGTTTAGATTGTTGTTGTTCAAATCATATTCATCGGTGTTTTTCATGAGCTCTTCGCTGAGTGCAGTTTAAAAAAAAATCTCATGCAACGGAGTAGTAGTGACTCTCTCTCTGAGTTATTCTCAGTGGCCGTGCACATATCGCACAAAAACGTACGCACTTTCCTTACACTAGAAAAAATGCTCATTTCGTATTTATGTGTCCCACATGATAGTGTTTGTTTGTGCCGAGGTTTGTGCAATGTATTAGCCCGGGCGCCAACACTTTTTTGTATGTTTGTATATACAATCCAACTTCCACTGTCCGGCGGTGTTTTTATGGAAGAAAAATGTTGGCAATATAATCTATTATTATCTTATACTGATCCGATTGCAAAAAATTTTAGCCCAGAAGTTGAAAGGTGATAGCTCTGTTGAGATTCAGTAACCCATTTCACAATGCCTGGTCACTCACGTCCATTCCGAGGTTACTTTCACTTACAACAAGCCCCGCATACACGTAGTACCGATATAAAATGTGTATGTGTACACTTCCATCATCAAAGCAATTCCTGCTTTGTAGATGGCACGTTTTTAGTAGGATGCATTTCATATTTTTATATCTAGTTTTAATCAGTTAGATCTCACCGCTTATGTATTGTATCCTTGCTGCTGAATCTTTGTCATCTCGATTCTCGTTGAGTCCTGTTGAAAAATCGAGCCCAGGCGCCAATTCTTTATTTGTTCTAAATTCAAAATAAATTACATTTCATTTTAACCTAGGTGCTCCAGCTACAACAGTAACTTACCATCCTTAATATGTTAAGACACGCTTAGTTACCTCTATGATGCTAGTATTTGCCACACCTTCGCCACATCAGTGCGCGCCTGACATTATTTTATGCTGTTCATGCGCCACTGAAGCATTGAGCAAGCCACCACATTTCGAACTTATCAGTGATGCCAGTTCTTTTTCAGGTGTCGGAGGCGAACCAGCCTAAGGCTGAAAGCCTCCTAAATAAAGCTAAATTAATTAATTAATTCTTTTTCACGTCTAGTTAGTAGATGTCAGCTCTTGAAAATGATAAGTGGTCAAGGCATCCCACTCGAGACACATACCACATCTGACGAATACAACTTTCATCTGTTTTGTTTTTATTCAACATAACTGACGCGTTGACAGAACAAGGGAAAAGCAACTAGTGAAAAAATTACATGAACGATATTTTTTGAAGGATTTTCTTCTAAGTGCTATGCCTGTTTGTCTGTGATTATATTAATCAACCTGAAGACATGAGAACATCTTGAGAAGCTTTTGGAGATCTCTGGTCACCTGAAGGGGCCTTTGGAATATTTTCTGAGTCATAGCCCTCCCTGGCAAATCGACATCACCATCGAGGAGGGGATGACTTCCCCTACTCGATGGATATGTTGGTTTGGGGAGGCGTGCATTGAATTCCTAGAAATCAACGAGAGAAGGCATTGTTTACAAAGGCTGTTACGCCTTAATCTAGATGTTTGGTTTTTAATATAAACACAGTTTTCAAGCATTAAAAGATTCAAGGCAGACCAGGGATCGATTGGTCAAAGTGTTGTCGTTGAAGATTTTATGATGTGGTGGTGGTGTTATTTCAGGACAATACATGTTGGCACTCGACCAGAGATTTGAGAAGTTTTTGCTCTGTGAACATAAATAGCTTATCTCGCACAGTATGTAAAAGATCCCTCTCATCTTGTTGAACTAATTTTAGACATGAATAAATTCAACATAAATATTGAGGTATATCGTGACAAGTACAACTAGGTTCTAAAGTATCAATAACGTCTAACTATTCGTTTGTACCGGCAAGTGCAGTAGCAAGCGAGGTAGCAAGAACCTCCTCGAGCTGGGTCTCAGGATCTCAGGGGCTTATTACTTCGTAGTTCAAGGGTTTTCGTGGGCAAGATGTGCAGTGTACGGTCACCTGACTAGAGATTATTGCGGATTATGAACTGCAAGTTGTGGATTGGCGGGGAAACTATGGTTTTTATTGTGAAAAGATTGTCTATTTTTGATTTATAGGTTAGTTTTATTGCGCAACCTACTGTTTGTTTTTGTTGGGGTTTTCTTCGGTAGCAATAGTACCATAGAGGTAACTCTAAGACCAGAAGGTCCCGAAGAAACGAGCTCAACTTTTTGGCTCAGCTCTGGAACTATCTCGGTCCCGATTCACCCTTCGAAACATAGGAAAATCCACTAACCCCTCATTTTATCTGTCAAACTTTCATAGCGAATCAAAACAAACATTGTGTTGTACTGGAATTTATACTAGAGTGGGGTCGTTAGTCGATTTGCTTGGGACCAATAGGCTAGTAAAGTAGTGAGCCAATTTAAAATCGTTAGTTTCGTATTGATTGTTGCTAGGACGATATTGGAGTGACCGTGTCAAAAGGGGAATGCTCCTTTTCGGTTAGAGGTAACCTCCCCGAGTTTCAAACTGCCTTCGTGATCAGTCGAACCAGAGGTTGGAATTGGTCCTTGACTGTTACGCGAAGTGAAGCTTGATCTAAGGTCTGATTGGGCCTGACCAGTCCAAAATGGAGGTATCTGGTGTATAACACACGAACGCCTGATACCTGTAACCGTTCTGTTACTAACCTTCAATTCGATGTTTTCTTAATTGCACCATAGACGTAACTCTAAGACCAGAAGGTCCCGAAGAAACGAGCTCAACTTTTTGGCTCAGCTCTGGTACTATCTTCGGTCCCAAGCTAATCGATGCACCCCTCGAAACATAGGAAAATCCACGAACCCCTCATTTTATCTGTCAAACTTTCATAGCGAATCAAAACAAACATTGTGTTGTACTGGAATTTATACTAGAATGGGGTTCGTTAATCGATTTGCTTGGGACCAATAGGCTAGTCAAGTAGTGAGCCAATTTAAAATCGTTAGTTTCGTATTGATTGTTGATTGCACCGTGTGATCGATCCTTCAGGTAAATTTAAACTATAGTGATGAAACCCACTGGGAAGACGACACGGCCATGCTTAACTGCCTATTGTTGAATAAGGCGTGCATGGCCACAACAAAATGGTGACCCGGAGTCACGGGGTGATGGGGTGAAGGGTCCTACGATGCTCAGCAAACAGGCATCGTTCACTTTTAAACAGGCGAGCGCGTAGACCACACAGCAAAAAAATAATTTTGATATCACGTCAAAGTGGATGCACTACAATCATGTCGAAAATATGGTGTAATATTACTTGCTAAAAAGGACAAAATTATCATTAATACAATGCATGAACTGACATTACGCTGCTTTTACTGCATTTGTTTATTTATGTCGTCATAAAAATTACATGAAATTTTCGACATGATTGTAGTGCATCCACTTTGATGTGATATCAAAATTATTTTTTTGCTGTGCAGAAGTGATTAGCTAGAGGAGTAAAATTAATACCTAGGGAATCTCATAGTTTCATGCTACAGATTCGTTGTCGGGCAGAACATTAGTTACATACAGTATGAGGCAATGGCGGCTTATCAAGGGTTT